CAGATGTGCTGCGGTCGCAACCCGTAGACGCTCACCACGTGCATCAGTGTCTCGATGTTAATTCGAATCAAACAGTCGACTTTGATTCATCCTTGATATTCTAGTGGTACCAGGCATGCATGTTGGGCTGTGAAGTTGTACAGACGACCCCATAGTTGCTCGAGCGCAGTCAAAGAAAGGCCTCCCATTGGATGACGATTGAGACAAAAATTGCGCATTTTTGTCCTTCATAGACGTGACGCCTCGTGGCAAGTATCATTCCGCCACGCCAAGGTCAGAGAAAATCAAATTATGACACAGCGTTTCCTGTTGGTCCTTACTTGCGCGCTAAGATGATGTAGACTTCCAGGCCAATTGGCATTTCGCGGGTCGCGAGCCACTCGTTCGAGTGCTGCGTCAAGCACACATGGCGGCGCACTCGGAAGGCATCCGCAGCAGCCGCGTCCCCGTCAAAGTCCGCCAGTGTTACAGGCTCTAGAGCGTCGTACGCGCTAGCGTTGCGGGCGCCGTCCCACTTTTCTTCCACGAGCAAGACGGGCCACGAGACGACATGGCGAAAACCGATCGACTTGATCGTGGCTTTGAGCTCGTCGAGACGCAAGCCGAGGTTAAAGTTGGGATGCAGCGCGCCACGACCACCAATGTCCAACGCCTTCTCCATGTCGCTTGGAAGCGTGTCGACGCCGCTGTGCTCGGGTGCGCCCCAAATGACAAAGCCGGCGATACCATCTTCGGCGAGCACGCGCGCAGCCTCTTGCAGCATCGCGTTCGGGTCCGGCGTCAGCTGGAGCACGAGGCTGGCAATGTACCGATCAAAGGCGCCGTTTTCAAGACCCCGCAGCTCCTGAGCTATACGCTCGATCTGAGACTCTAAAAGAGACGATCGACGCACCGTTGGCGAGCGCCACGTCAATCTTCCGCGTCGCCTGGTACGGCGCAAGACGGCGCTCAAGGCGCTGCAGCATCTCTGGCGCGAGGTCCGTTGCAAGAAGAGCCGCATGTGGCGAAAGGCGTGAGAGAATATCTTCCGTGCCGAGGCCGGCGCCAGCGCCGACTTCGAGCACCCGCGTCGCCGTGTCGAGGTCCATGTGGGCGTGCAGGACGCGCGAGCCTTGGATTGTCAGCGTCTTGTTGGCCTCGGCCGTGTACACCTCGGCGAAGTCGTTCCAGAAGCGCTGGATCCGGCGCACGCCATCGTCCATGGGTACATCCGCCTGCAGCTTCATCGTATAGCCTCGGAATACGACTGGCGTTGCAACTTCAAGCACATCAAAGCCAATACCTTTCAAACAGGATATCCTCTATTAAATTATATACCTGTGATTTTTGATAGTACATGGAACTGTATTATACAATACAAATGCGAAGTGACAAGATCCTGTTCGCCCTTGCAACGAAGAGACACGTTTTTGCGGTGCCAGCGGGATGCCGACGGACGACGAAAGCAAGGCCCTCCAAGAAGATGGCCTCGGCGACGCCGACCTCAAGGTACACTCGCTTCGTGTATCGTATCGGCAGTCCTCGGTGTAGATCATTCTCCTGGGTGACTCGGCGGTTGGCAAATCCAAGCTCGTCGAACGCTTCATGATGAACGAATACCAGCCACGGCAGGTGCATCTCTCGCCTACGTGAACGCAATGCCTCATGCGAGCTCCATGATTTAGCTGTCGACGTTTGCACTCACGCTCTTTCGAAAAGAATTTCCAATGGACGATGGCTCGACGGCCAAAATCGGTACTGCTGCCTCCTCTGTCTGCACAAAATGCCACGTATCCTTAGACATTTGGGACACGGCAGGCCAAGAACGCTTCTCGAGCATGCATCCGTCGTACTACTTTGGTGCTTCGGCCTGCATCTTGGTGCGAACGTTCAATGTAGAAAGCATGCGGCGATGGCGGTGTTTAGGTCTTTGACGTCACGCGCAAAACCACGTACCAGCATTTGGCCGATTGGTACAAGGAGCTGCGAGAATACTGCGAGAACGTTCCTTGCTTTCTGGCAGCCAACAAAATCGACGTCGACCTCGAAGTCACGAATAAAAAGTTCAAGTTTGCCGAGACGCACAACCTCGGCTTTCACTTCGTGTCGGCTGCGGACGGCACCAACGTCGTCAAGGTGCCGGCAATCCTATAGTGATATATCTTGCAACTGTGGTGCTAGATCTTTGAAGAAGCCATCCACGCGGGCCTCAAGTACAAGAAAGAGGGTGGGGACTTCATGGCCGACGTCTTGGACTTGCTCAACGAACCGCCGCGCAGTGCGTCCTTCTATCTTTTGAACGTTCGGTGTTGATCAAGTTTCTGTAGAGTAAATCATCAAACTGCAGTAGCCGCAGTTTCTTGCCTCGGCCATATGCCCATCAATACATCATGCGCTTTGTCCATGGTCTGCAAGCACGGAACGTACTGTCTCGTAGGACGCGCGCCAAGTCCCGTTGCTGGCATCGCATTCTCCCACTTTGGCACCACGGGCTTGACGCACGTGAAGAGAGCGGTCTCAAGCGCCAAGTCAGTTGACTCGTCTCGCAACTTGCTTCGACGCCTCTTAGGTGGTGAGATGTATGCGGGGTGACGTCGCACGAACGTTGATATGGAGCTTGTTGTGACTGCAGAATGAAGACGAGAGACAAGTCCTCAAGAAAGCCCGTTGTGGACTGATATGTCGTGGACGCTGGAGACTCACACATGGAACATTTCAGACAAGTTCTGTGCGCATTCCGCGAAAAGACAAGGGGTGCGATAACCGAACGGTTCGAGACGGACACTCGTGAAGAACTTGGCGGTTGGATGCGGTTGAAACGCTGAGGCGAGTGCTTGCGTGTGTCGAGCAAAGAGACGATGCTGTCCTTCCAGCGACGCCCGCGTATTGCAGTCGACGTTGACCTTCAAGTGGAAGGCTGCTACAACCTTCCAGAATCCCACAGTCGCCCCATCAGCTGTGCCTGGACGTACGACGACGGCCGCCACGGCACAAGCCCCAGCGTGGCTGTCGTCGAGCAATGCGCCAAGTGGCCATCGTGGCGCATCTCCCTGCCTCGCTGCGAGCTGCCCGTCAGTCGTGACGCTGTCGTCACCAGTCGCTGTGTGCGCTTGAGCGTGCGTCAAGAGACGTCGAGTCGCCGTCGCCACACTCGTCTCGGTGTCGTGTCGATTGACGTCGCCGACTTTGTCGGACGGTTCGGCACATCGTCACGCCGGTATCTCTTGCAAAACGCGAGTCTCAACTCGACACTCCATGTAGCTCTTTCTTGAATCCAATTCGATCTAGCGCGACGAGTAGGTACTCGTGCACACGAAACAAGTCGATGGCGATGTGCTCCTCAAAACGTACGCTTTGTGCATTTCCCGTTCACGCCTGTCTGAAACAATAGATATCATAGTCATCGACCCGAGGCAGCCGCAGCTGTCGGTACGGTTGCTTGGAACAGAGGACGGCTCATGATGGAAACTAGTGTTGCCTTCTCGCCTTCGCCGGCGGTCGCTGGACCGCCACGTCTCCTTCGGCCCGCTGCGGCCCGTGAAACGAGCGGAAAATGGTGTTATCCGCGACGCCAATTCGCTCGATGCCCCCGCTATGCAGGCGATCGTGTCGGACATTCTGCGCACCTCGGAGGAGCTCCGAAGCCGACACCTCCCCTCCAAGTAGTCGTTTAGTCGATACGTTCTGAGGCTCCATAAGTTCTGAGTCGATGCTCTGGAGTACTGAGGTTGTACTAAAGTCCGCCAAGCTTCTTTGGCTACACTGGTCCAACCCGACGTCGAGTGTACTAGGTGTTCGTACCTCGGTCTGGAAATCACTCGTCGACTCGGAGCGTCCTTGGAGCGACTGGAATGATCTGATCGGACACCTCGGTCCCCGCCGTGGTGTCTGTTCGTACTGGTGACTTGGCTGTTGATGCCAGACAAAAAGATTTGCTTAGCAAGCAAAGATCAGTCGTCATTCAGTGTTGGATGCGGAGTCATTCCTTATACGTCAAGGACGAGCGCCTTGGCCAAGCAGAGCGCGATTTGCTTTTGGACGCCGAGGCTGGCGGCGACAACGGCGCCTTCGGTCGCCGTCTTCTTGTCGTCCGAGAGCCGCACAAAGCGCAGCTTTTGGTCTTGGATGGCTTGCAGTACAGCGTAGAGGTCCGAGGACGTAAACACGGGCGGCTGCAACGGCACGAGCTGGTCTACAAGCGATAGGATCGTCGGCCACATGGACGTCGGAATGTCGCAGCTGCGGCAGAGCATGCCGAGGCGCTTCGCAGCCTCTTGCTGCACTTGGGCGAGCGCCACATGCTTCGTGCGCGACAGCTCGGCCACGTCACTAAACACGAGGAGGAGCTCGTGGTACGCCACCGTAAAAGCCGTGATCGCCGTCGCGTCAGCTTGCTCCGAGGCTTCGAGCACGTCGGCAATGTGATGCAGCCGTGTCGCATCCCGCCAGTTGGCTTCGCAGAGCCCGTCGATGGCGACAGCATCGCGCGCGCGGAGCAGCCACGTCATGGCCGTGCCGACGCGGCCCTTGGCCGTCCAGTACGCACCGCGGTCCAGCGCCAACTGCTTTACAAAGTGCCGGAGACCGTACGTCTGCGCGTGCAAAAGGAGCTTCTCGGCCTTGAAGTCCGTGAGCGTCTTCGACCGGCGCTGCGCGTCAAGCAGCGAGAGCAACACGGGGCCGCCGCCAAGCGGGCACGTCTCGAGGTACGCGATTAGCAGCGTTGCGTTCGGGTCGGCGCTGACGAGGAGCGCGTCGACGTACGCGAGGACAAAGGCCTCGGAGCGGGCGACGTGCCCTGCATGCGAGAGAAGGTCCATGAGATGCGCGGGGAAGAAGGGAAAGTCGCCCGCACACATGCGCTGGACCGCCTCGAGCGCTGAAGACAAGTCAAACTCGAGCAGCGAGACCACCGTTTCCTCAAACGGACCGAGCGGCGAGAGCGACGCGCGGAGGTGCGTCACGAGGCGCGTGCATTGCGCAGTGCGCGAGAGGTGCACCTTGGGGTCCTCGAGCACGCAGCGGGCGACCGCTTGCATGTACCATGGCGTCGCGTCGGCCGCGTCGGCGCCGCCATGCGTGAGGACATGGAGGATCATTTTGAAATGCATGTCCTTGGCGAGGTCGCCGGCAGCCAGCGTTCGGCATGCGTCGTGCCACGCCGGCCACGATGAGTCGGAGGACTGCGACGGCATGTGCATGAGCACCTGACGCAAGGGTTCAAGCGTCGCGAGCGCATAGTTGGCATGCGAGTAGAGACTCAGAAGCTCCCATGCCTTGCGCCCATGGCCCGCGAGGATGAGCTGCACGATCGTCGGCCAGTACTTGGGCGGCAAGTCGACGTTGTGGACCGACGTGCCGAGCTGCGTCTGGAGCTCGAAAAAGGTCATGTCCATGTCCTCAATCTCCATCGCCGCGTAGTGCTCTTGGATCCACTCGGCAAAGGCGTATGCTAGCACCGTCTCCTACGCGTAGCGATCGTCAGCGGCGAGGCCATCGTGGTGCAACACGGATGCGTACGTTCGTCGCATCGAGGTATAGGATTTCGCACAAGTGGAGCAGCGCCAGCGACGCTTTCACGATGTGGACAAGGTCGGCCTCCGTGTCGAGCTGCTTCGTGTCCATGTCGTTGGCGCACGTGCGCATCGCGGCGCGGTACTGCTTGGAGGCGGCGAGCACGAACGGGCGCAGCTCCGCGGGGTGCGTCGAGCGGCTGCGCTGCGCCAGCGCCTCGAAGACGGGGAAGCATTCATTGACGAGGTTGCGCATGTGCAGGCTCGGGGTCGACGCCACGGTCGCCGGGCTCTCCATGTCGACGTCGGCCGTCGACGCCGTCGTTGGTGGTGCGGGCCAGCCCATGTCTCCGGTCGATGCTTGGATTTAGCAATACGGTCCTTATTGTCCAATCGCTGCGGGCATGCAAGATATCAGGCATTGGATTGGATAAAAAGACGAGCAATATGGCTGATTAAATGGCCAATCACAGTGCGGTTGTTGAAAGCCCTTGGTATCCGGATCCGGATGTTGTGGTCGCCAAAATTAGCTGGCAGCTTGAGACTGCATTGACCAGCACCATGGCGTCCAAGGAGGCCAAGGACGCCAAGGATACAAAGGAAGCCAACCTCGTTGCAATCGAGTCCTTCAACCGCCAAGTGGAGGCGTCCAAGGCTGAGCTGCTCGCCAAGCGCATCGAAGAGCTCCAAGCCGAGAACGAGAACCTCCGCTTTCTCCATGCCAAGGGCGAGAAGGAGATCCACGAGTTCGTCGCCTACTTCCAGCGCGAGCTTGGGACGCGCGAAAAGGTTTGTGCAGCATGTGCCGATATGTACGCCATGGAGAATGCTAGATTGCGGCCAAGCTCACGGAAGAGCTCAACGACACCAAGCAGCGCCACACCGACGACGTCGAAGCCTGGCACACCAAGTACGACTCGGAAACCAAGCAGCTCAAAGAGACCAACCGATCGCTCGAGTCGACGCTGTCGTCCAAGCTCAAGATTGCGCAGGAAGACCTCTCCAAGCTCGAGGTGTTCCGCGACATGCGCGAGACGCTCGAGAAGAAGCTCAACGCGGTCACGGACGCGCTCGAGTCCGAGCGGGTAGCCCACAAGGACGCGGTGTCGGTCTTGGAGCGCAAGTTCTTGGAAGAGAAGGCGCGCGCCCAAAAGGACACGGAGAAGCGCATCGAGAAGATCAAACAGCAGTCCCGCGAAGATGCGCGCAACATTCTCGACGCCGACACGCGCAAGATCGTCACGGACAACAAACGCATGGGCGACGAGCTGCGATTCCAGCTCCAAATGACCGACGAACTCCAGCGCGAGAAGGACAAACTCGTTGAGCAGACCAAGGCGCTACAGCGAGAGCTCCAATTGCACGCGGATAAGGAGCAGGAGTACGCCAAGTACGGCCAGCGCCAAACGCGCGAAATCAAGCAGCTGCAAGCCAAAGTCAAGACGCTAGAAAAGTCGCTCAGTCAAGTCGTGAGCACGTTTGAGAAGGAGAAGCACGCGCTGACCATCAAGACTGAGAAAGAGGTACGCACCCGTATGGTCCTACCGCTCAACTTTATGGAGTCCTAGCTCGACGACGTGAGCTTGGATGCGGACGGACTACGGAAGCTGCTCAAACTCAAAAACAAAGAGTTGCGGACGATGAAGCGGCTTGCACAGACCATTTTGGACCAGCGCACTGACGTAGGCAGACATTCGTATCGGAGCTTTGAGGTTGAGCTGCAATAGGTCGAGCAATTCTTCCTCGACTCGCTCGACATTGTCAAGGAGCAGCTCGTGGACGAGCGGCGAAAAGCCATCGAGGTCGAGAAGCGCCAAGACGCCAAGCTTGTACGTTGTACGACTGACATCTGCGTCGCCTACATTGCGAGTCGTATTAGACAGCCGCCGAGCGAGGGCTCAAGTTCCCGCGCCTCAAGCACGTGCACCCCGCAACGACGAGCAACAATGCGTCGTTTGGGTGCAAGGAGAAAGTTGATTTGCGTGCACTCACCTGGGAGGAGCGCGAGCGTGTGCTGCGCCTGCTCTTTGGCAAGATCAACAGCATGCAAGGCTTCTTCGAGGGGACGGCCGCCGTCGAGGACGACGCGCTCCAGACGCCGTTCATTACCGAGGCCACCGCTTCTGTAAGCGGTCCGGCCATGCCACGTTTTGTGCCAGCGTTCCCGTCGCGACCACCGACCACCAATCTCTAGTCGGTACCCCAACTAATAGCACACGGCCGTATGTAGTAGGATACATGGAACCACAATGGCGTTGCTTTAGAGGCAGCCCTGAATCTGCGCGAGGACCGTGTCCGCTTCGCTCTTGTGGATCATCTCCTTGCCGCCCGGAAGGCGAATGAGGTTGTCGCCTTCATAGCGCGGAATGACGTGGATGTGCGTGTGGAAGACGACTTGGCCCGCGGCACCGCCGTTGTTCTGGACAATGTTGATACCGTCGCATTGGAATGCATCTTGCACAGCTTTGGCCAGGCGCGGCAGCTCCTGGAAGAGCTGCGCCGCGAGCGCCGGCGGCATGTCGAGGATCGTCGCGTAGCCCTCGGCCTTGGGGATGAGGAGGCAGTGGCCCGCTGTGCACGGGAAGGCGTCGAGGATCGCGAGCACGTGCTCGGTCTCAAAGACCTTGTAGCTCGGGATCTCCCCGCGGATGATCTTGGCGAAGATGTTGTTGCGGTCGTAGGCTGGCGTCGCCATGCTTGCTCGTGTTGCCTTTCTTGGATACTGTTGTGTGTGGGGCGGACGCCAAGTCGATTGCTTTCGGAACAATCCGAATTGGAGTACAAGGGGTTTTGATAGCACCACCTTATTGGATTTTATATTTGGATAGTTTACGTTTTACCTTATATTTGTATGGAATAGTGCGTTTTACGATACGGGGCGCGATCCAACGAGATGCCTGGTTGAAGTTTGCAATTTAGGACAATGCCTATTTTCCATCCAACGACCCATCGCGCAAGTGCCATGGAGCGGTATTTGAACCGCGCGCGGGCCGAGAGCTTCTTGATGGCCGATGGCCAAGAGGTCGAGGTCAGCGTGCTTCTGCGGATACCAGCCGCCGAAGCCTACGCCTTATGGCTGCGGCAATGCTGGGGCGGCCCTGCCCTGGTAGGCTCGGCGATCCAGCCTCGATCTTCATCCTCGAATAGGTCGGCGCGACGCGGTCGAGCTACCAAGGCACGGAGAAGCTAAGCGTGCTTGCGCCGCCCGACCAAGGTAACGAGAGCGACCGCATCGGAAGCGTGCACTACGAGCTCGCGAGCCGCGGCTGGTTCTTTCACGGCTACAAAGCCATGGTGAGCTTCATCCCGGACGCCAAGAACACGGCCAACACGCTCGTTGTATGGGTCGTCAAGTACGATCCGACGCAGACCAGCATCGTCCTTTGCTGCGGCGGGACCATGCTTCGCCTCCTCACCCGCAACTACCTCAAGAACCAGCTCCAAAGCCTCCAGGCTTCGCCGTAACTAGCGCGCATCGTCGCTCGCTTCTCAGAATCCTACCTAATCCAATGACGACCGCACCAACGTTGCGTGACCCCGGGGCACGTCGGGTCCCGGCTCCGCCCATCGCCTTCCGGCGATGGCTACTTGGGGGTGGAAGCCGGTCCATGACGTCGTCACTCGTGAACCCATCAGGAAGCGCGCACAAACGCTGCAGATTCCCTCAGCAGCCTGCTTGGTGCGCTGCCACCCGGTCATAGCACCCTCCTACTGAGCAGCAGCGATCTCTGCGACTGCAGCGTCGTCTCTATCACCAGTTGTTGACGGCCCTGCGTTAATGACCTGAAGATGCAAGAGATGCTCGATGCTGTTAGATGCGGGTACCATCGTCAGCTGGCATCGTTGTGTTCGATCAGGCCGAACGGAACTGAGCAGCCCGTGCTTTGCAGTCGCAGCTGCATGGCAATATGGCAGATCATGTCGCCGTTGCACGGGCGTTGCAACCGCGACACGTTGTGATCGCTGGGATCGACCCACAAAGTCGTCCTCGCTATCGCTGGCCGCTTCATCGCATTAAGCGATGCACTTACGACGTCATCGTTCCCCACGCACCTCTATACTCGCGGCAGCGCTCGAGTACAGCGCCCGTACTGTACCACTGGCGGTGGTGCCCCGGCGGATGCCACCATAACTTGCTCGGATGCAACTGCAAAGACCAACGCGCTGTTGCTAACGCGAATCAGATGTGTATTTGATAGACGCGCGCGTTAACCAATTAAAATGGGATTTCGTCGTGTTCGATACCAGGATACACATATCATTATTAGTTGGCATTTAAAGTATGTGAAATATTACATAGCGCGTTGAAGCCGCCAGGTCATTTCGCAATTGCCATGCTGCGCGCCCCGATCAAGACGAGTCCGACGACGACCAATACGTGGCTGCACCGAAAGCTATATGCCATGTCGAATGTGCTCGCAGCTGCGCTCCAGCCCAAGCCGCATGCAATCACGAGCGCAAAGAAGCTTCCGTACGTTGCCCCCGGCCGGTTCCTTGGCGCGGCCTTTGACGAGTTTGATCTGCCGAGCCCCGACAGCGCCTACACCACCGACGACGAAGACGACGACGATGCGAACGACGATGAGATTCTGCTATGGGAAGCACCGCAGCCGTCGAAACTCGAAGACAAGCCTGTCGACTACCGCTGGATGTACGCCGCCGTCGAGAACGAGCTCAGCCAGAGCACGCGAGCTGTCGTGTACCCCGAGGCCTTCCTCGAACGACGTGCGTCCCAAGTCGACGAGCCCACAGCGAGCGACGCGTCCGTGCAAAGCCTCGTCCCCTCCGGCGGCCACGCCCTGGACGACGTTCAGCTTTAAGAACCACCACGATCGCCCAAGTCGATCCGTACTATTCTACCACTTTAAATTAATATTTTACGTGCTTCTGAAAGGATATCCTACGAAGCCGACCGGAGGCGATGCCCAAAGGCTTCCATCGTCGCCCATGTCGTCGGCAGGCGGTAGGGCCACGCGATGACGGTCGCCACGACGCCAACCCGGCTCCGCTGCGTGAGCAGCCCCGTGCGCTGGTGGCGGCCAACAGCCCCGAGATTGCCAAAGTCGTTTCGCACGACTTGGAACGTATCGCTGCCGAGTGCGATCGTCGAGCTGGCCATGGCGTCGTCCGTCGACGCCGCAAAGAGCGTGATCTTGGAGGCCGCGTCCGTCGTGTTGAACCAGCCTTCTTCGTGGAGCACGATACCTTGGGGGTTGAAGACGATGATGCCAGCAAACATAGGGCCATGCGGCCCAACCACGCGCAGGTCCTCGACGAATGTGGCCCACGGGAGGCTCCCTTCGTCCCAGCTGCTCGCCGCCATGGCTTCAAGTTTTTTCACGATTCACGCCAGTGTACAAAACAGTGTTTGATACACTATCCTGGAAACCATACGTCTCCAGTACGGATATTCCACTCTATCCGGAATCCTGTCTCGTGCAGCACTCGTGGCAGCACAGCACACCTGGGGAGCGCGCGATCGTGGCAACGCATGAGTCGCCCTACTACTACGATTTATACGACGATGCGATCCCGGAGGTCCAGCTCACCAAGTACCTCCTCAAGCACCAAACCTTGGATGACAACGAAGCTCCTTTGCTCCGCGTCAATGGCGTCCTCGCTTGGCTCCTTTCGGACGAGCAAGTGCAGCAGCTCACTGCTCTCTGTGGCGACTGCAACGCGATTCCCGCGTAGCAACGACAATAGTGACGTGTGGTGGCACGACGCGGGCAAGAGTCTCATCGATCAAGTCCGCACCAACCTCGGGCTGGACGACGCCATCCACATATGTGTTTCGTGGTCGATGTCACGGGAGCGGCGATGCACTGCTTGCGATGCAGAGCTCTGCGCCTACACACATTTGGCGCCCTCATTCTCTTCCTGCCTTCGCTGCACTACGGCGGCGAGCTCATGTTGACGACGTCAGCGCCCATCACGAGCGGTGGCGCATCGCACTCGTCTTGCATCCCGCACCTGCCGACGAGCGTGTCGACGTCACCGCCGTCTCAACGCGACGCGATTGTCACCTTTGCCGCGATCGCGGCAGCCCCACGGGTGGAGCAGCATCGACTTGGTTATTTGCTTCTTGACGGCGGCGAACGACTCGCCTTTGATGCGCTGCAGACGTGGGACGCGCACGTTGCCGATGTGCTCTTGGCCACGGCGTCTACGACCTCTTCCTCACCGAGTTTGACGATGCCATGCCAGACAGCGGGGATGAAGATGACGAGTGGACGCTAACGAACCCGATTGAGACCTGCGTGGCGCATCCTGCGTGTGCGATCCCCGACAACGTCATCGACGCCCTCCTCGGCTGAAGCGAGGCTTTGTCTTTTGACCCACGCGCGACTTCGGGCCCAAGTATATGCTGCCTCTCGTGTAGGCCGACGTGGCCGCGCCTGGGTTCCCAGCCGCCGCGACACCGTGCTGCACATGCTCACCACAATTGCTGAAAGGAGAACGCTCGCAAGCCTAACAGCTCGACTCATGCCAGCATGAAGATTGGCGTCGCCTTTTGCACTAGTGCGATCCTGCATTTGTTTCAAGCGTTCCACTGTGGAACGCTTGAAACAAATGCATGGTGTGGAATTTCCACACCCTGAGGCTTCAATGTCGCAGTGTAGCCAGAATGTCATCGGCTTGCCAAGAGCGTGTTGAGACCGCATCCCGTAACGCTGCCTGTTAGTGCGCGTCACGCCAGGACGCGCGTGTGGCGTAGGGAGTAGTAGGCGGCTGGCGGGGACGCAGCGGAGGACACGCCGGCCACGAGGCTTTTGTGCCGTGTGTCGTTGGCGCCATATTGGATAGACTGTTTTATACCGTTTATAACAGTGTGGAGCACGGATGAATCAAACACATCAATAGTTTTTTATGCTTCATCTTGCAATTGTATAAAACAGCTGTACGAAATTGCACTGTTTTATTCTTGATGCTTTTGCGCGCGCTCGACAATGACACGCATGAGTATGGCGCCGGCAACGAGGCGGCGGAGACGCCTAAGAGCACTTTATCTCAGACGGAGTGCAGAACGTATTCCCATAGCCACATCCATCCTCCAAGAATAATAATAACTACGATTGTCCACATGGGCGAGTCGGTGCTTGGTACGCGCCAAGCTCAGTACTATCGTCAACGAAGCGACGGCCACAGCCACCTTCATTTCAT